TCTGTGTCTCCGAGTGATGATTTCCAGCCCGGTATTGATTTAGGGGTGCAGGTTCCTGCGTCTTCAGATGGATGTGAACCTACCCCCACCTCCCCCAAGGCACAAGCACCTTCCCGCAGAGTCCATCTTAAAGGACACCAGATAGTTGTAATGACCAACATAATCAGATAATGAAGTCAAAGAAGAAGCCCACTTCTGGGCGCAAGTGAGGGGGTCAAAGGAGGACAGGACAGGGCTTGGTGGGAATCGGACTTCTCCCGAAGTTGGCACCCCTCATCAGCTGTCACTAGACGGATGGTGTATGTTGTTGACCTTCAGAATTCTTAAATGAACCTCTTTATGTCTCTGTGGATTGTCGTTTTCCAGGACTATTCCGCGTGTCTGCACTCAAAAGGAGCATGAGCATTAAGGCTCTTTGATCTATCTTCTATCTGGAGCATTAAGGCTCTCCTGGTGGCTTATAGTTGCGTGAATCTTTCAACTTAAAGAATGACATTGGCCTTAGCTGTTTGAACAGAATAGTGCTCTTCCATGGATGGGAGAATTATGGAAGATTTACGCACTTCACATAACGTCAGATAGTTTACTTCGACTTTGTGATTTTTCTATAGTTAAAATTTTAAGTAGATATTTTATTACACTTTGCCAAATTTATGTTTGAAGTGGTGTTTTGTGAAGATGATTTCTAGTTGTGAATTATTCTGTCTGATACAACTTGCTTCAAATTATTTGCAATCAGTTTTACTGAATTGTAGAACCATTTAGATATGTGATGTTTGATTGCAGCTAGACATTGTCTATGCTGAAATATATTATTTTTCTAAGTATTACTTACTGTTTTCCCAAGAACAGTCAGTGCCATTTCTATGATATATATGAAATAATATAAGCCAAAGTTACAAGCCTTCAGTTATCTTAGACACTTTACTGCCCTCCAGACATGTTATTTTTGATTCACTGTTTTCATTAAGTTCTCTTTTCAACAATAGTGTTTAACTTTAATGCCATTTATTTTTATTTCTGTGTGTTCTGAAGGGATTCATCTCTAGTTGGTACCTGACATGCAGTCATTTGATGGTTATTTTTTGTTGTTGTTAAACTTTACAGAACAGCAAGGTTTTTCCTTTGTTTTATCCAGACAGAAAGTAAATACAGGTATACTATACATTTTATCATGAAGAAATTTTACAAAGATATCCTGGGGAAAATTTGATATGTTTAATGTGAATGTACAGTTTCATACTATATAAATTTAGAACAAATGTCTCAATACAAAAATTATGTCTTTTCATACGTGGCAGGCCAGGCTGATAGAAAATTTCAAGTGCCTATTAAATGATAAATTGAAATTATTTTGCTTAGGACATTGTAAGCATCTGTGTATTATTTAACTAAGTATATTTCCCATATATTAGAAGAAATGAGCCATGCTAAAATGCATCACTGAGAGAAAATATCTTTCAACTTTTAATAACAACACACTTGTATATATTTGGGCATGGGATGGGGAGGGGGCATTTGCTTTTTAGTAACAACACCCTCACTATGTTTGTGCATGCTATTTTATAAAATGTGAAATGGAATAATAGCTTGATTTCAATGACAGGGTCAGCTCTATTCAAAAGCCAGGAGATTCAGGTTGTCAACAGCCACTTGTGCTTTCATAAGTCCCATTAGCGTTGTTTTTTGGAGGCACAGGAAACAACAACAACAAAAAAAAACGGCCGATTTCCTCAGACAACATCAAATTCTCTTGTTGCAAGTTTTTCCCAGAGAGGAAGGTGATACTCTGAGTTCCTGACCCAACAGGAAATCATATTGCTAGCAGAGCTGTGAGTTTTGTAAAAGTAGTCACGTGCCCAGAGGTTGACCATGACAAGATTTCAAGTCATTCATCCTTCTGCTAGACTTTGGCCTGGGTCATAGGAGGGGTTAGGTTGGGGGACATCTTGGAAGGGTTTGACTTTCTCCATGAAAGAAGCTGACAGTACATTCCTTTTTTCATTATTCAAAGCAGACATCCCATCTGTGGGTACTTGGCATGTGGTGAGCACTGGGAGAATTTGAAGCCAATGCCCATGCCCTGGGTGGCCAGAGGATTTGCAAGATCAAGTGTGGACCTTTGGAGGCTTCGCTGACTTGGTAATTGAAAAAAAAAAAGGAACAAATTTCCTATGGCCACTGCAGAAATAGGGGCAATTACAAAGGGATTACTTGGCAGGAAAAGTTTGGTTGGTTGAATCGTTGGTTGTTATCTCAGCACTGTCTTAGTCCATGGAAGCTACTGTAACAGAACAGACGTGACAGAACAGACGACCCTGTGGCCGATAAAGCAACAGAAATAACGTGTAGACTTTTGGAGGTCGCTCTGCTGAGACAGCCCATGACCTAAGTGAAATCTTTTCCTGGGTAGAAGGGGCAAGGGACTTCTACTGGGTCTGTTTGTAAGGGCACAAATCCTATTCATGAGGATCCCACTCTCATCTCTTAATCACACCAAAGCTCCCACTTCCAGTTGCCATGACACTGGAGGCCAGTTTTCAACATAGGAGTTTTGGGGGGGCACATTCAGTTACAACAAGTCCTAACCCCCACACCTCCATAGCGCAGAAAATGAATTTGGAGATTATAGAGGTCATCACTTTAGAGGTCATTTATGAGACCCAGTCTGGTAGGACTGAGGTACTTATAAAATGGGGAGAATGTGGACCCAGACACAGACCAGCACTCATGGAGAAGCTCACGGGAGGCCAGAAACCCAGGACTGAGACACTGCCCTGGCACCTGCCAGGCTGCTGATCCCTTGATTTCTGACTCTAGGCCTCCCAGACTGAGAGGCAACACATTTCTTTTGTTCAGAACCTCCCAATTTGTGGTTCATTTTTATGGCTGCCCTAGGAAACTAATACAGAATTTAAGTGTCCAAAGGACAATTATTCTTATGGAATCAATTAATAGATAGGTGAGAAATTTTTAAGCAAAACTTAGTAGTCAAAATCATTCAGTTCAGTATACTATTCCAAATAGAAGGAGACTAAGAAATATAACAGAACTCACATGAGTTCTCAGTCCTCCAGAAAGTCTATAATAGAAAATCAGCGTTTCTTCATTAGATCCCAGCAGACTCAGGTAGCGACGTCACACCGTTGAATTTCACTGCATTCACGGGCTCTTCATTTCAGTTTACTTTGATGTATTTATAATGCAATCATCTAATCTATTCTCAATCCATGCTTTCTTATTCATTCAGCATAACAATGTCATATGATTTATCTTTTGAATAAGGTGATGCTTTTCTCAAATTGTACATGATTCAAAGATTCTTCCTTCAGCAGAGGGAAATGTGAGCTCACTTCCTACCAAACAAAGTGACCGTATCAAAGGGAAGAAACATATTAAGAAGGTGGAAGTTTTACTTTTTGAGAGAAAAGAAGATGGCATTAAATGCATTTTTTGTTATAAAGTTTGAAAAAGCAAAGTTCTGATGTACATCTCTTCAAGGATGACAGGTTAACAGTTCAACACTTAAGTAATGGAGACAGCTATTCTGTATACCTCAGCCACGATAAATACTAGGGGAGTTTAACCACAAATCAATCATGGGATTCTATACAAATTAAGACTTTGTAGACAGACTTTTTTTTTTAAAGATTTATTTATTTGTGCATACAGCCTCTGGTACAGGCCAGAGGCTCAAGGGCGGCGAGAGGCTTCACCAGAGACAGAGTGGGGAGCAGAACAGGCAGATCGACGAAGTCCACTGCTGAGGGGAGCAGCGGGCGGGTCAGGAGAGGTCTGCCACACCACGTGGTCACCTCCGGGGCAGGTGGGAATCGAACTCATGCAGAAGCGGCTTTAGATTCTCAGTGCTGTGCTTTAACCCGCTGTGCCACCAGGGAGGGCCTGTAGACAGACTATTTTCAAGTGTGTTTTGTGACAGTGAAAAAATTTCATTGCACCCTATTAGTATATTAAGCATGTTAAATTATTAGATCGATCTTGCCGATCCGTCATTAAACTGCAGGAAGCAAACAAGTCAATGATCAGATCAGATGCTTCTCCAAATCAGGATAACCAATGTTACAATATATTCACGAGTCTAAGTATTTTACTAATGAGATATATGATCTTTCTCTATTAAGGGGGGGAGGAAAGTGACTGAACTGTTAAAAACTTTTACTTCGGGTAAGATTTTTGTGTTATTCTGTTTGTATCTGGTGGAGTCCTGAGACTACAGCATCATACAAACAAGACTTTGTGATTGACAAAGTTGCGAATGCTATTGCAATATTCTCCGCAGAAAACTTACGGACAATATTCACAAAATTTACGGACATGTCAAAAACAAGGAAATATTCTAGAGTAAAAACTTTATAACTGTGTTTAACTCTGAGTTCTCCAGACTACTCCACTAAGAAATACACCCTTTCCTGAAGCATCTATTAATCTCACTAAGCACTATTTTTAAAAGGGTAAGGATATGAAAAATAAAACTTCCAAAAACAAAAATCTAAAAAAAAAAAAACTTTTTTATTGAGTATTATTAAAGATCATGACCATAAAATAGACTTAGAGAAAAACTTAAAATTATCTATGTCATTCAATGAGGTAAAAATTGAGTCGATATTGTCATAATATGTTCTAGGCCTTGGGATAGCAATCTTGTTCTGTAGAAAACTAAATAGTAAATCTTAAAACCTACACATAACCTCTAATGTCAGAGCTACTCAACTTGGTCACAGACAAAATGTAAATGAATGAACTTGGCTATATTCCAATGAAACTTTCTTTGTAAATAAACGAATTTGGATTTCATGTAATTTTCATGTTATTCTGACTTGTTTCAACGATTAAAAAACATGCAAAGTATTCTTAGTTCACACAAAAATGTAACAGGGCAGATCTTGGGTGAATGATGTGGCTTGTTGAACTCTTCTTAGAATATTAATCCTACAGAGTTGATATCCCATTTCTTACTTCTTTTAGGAAGGGGTTCTTGCCTTCAGCTTCGATCGCTGTGGTCAGAAGGTCATTTCCTCTTATGAAGGTCAAAAAAGACAAACAATGAGAAGAGAATGTGGTAACACGTTTCCATATTTATATTCAAAGATGGAGTTTGCAATGCTGTCCTATTCTGATTACATAATATGGTTTAATGAGTTCTATTTATGTCTGCATTATTTTTTTTGCAAGGCATATGTTTGAACAAAAATCTATTCTTTTATACTTTTAATACGTCTGAATTCTCATGACTTAAATAAGCTATACGCTGTACCATGGAAAACAAAAGAAAAAGAAAGTGAATCGGTGACTATACTACGATCGTATTTAAACTTACACAGAAGTACTCGCTGCACGTTAAAATTAATGTGTTTTGCATATGGAGCTCCAGCATACCACACTCTTCTGGAAGAGACTGTACTCTCTCAGCTGAACTGCCTCTGCTCCTCTGCCAAGCTCCGGTCGACTTGCTTGCTTGGATCTGTTCCTGGGCTTCCTACTTTGCCCTATTTGTCCGTGCATCTGCTCTTTCACTAATATTCCAGGCTTTCTTGTTCACTGTAGCTTCAGAGTAGAACTCAGAAAGTGACCTCCGACCCACGACTTTGCTCTTCAATGCTCTGTGGACTACTTTTTGCCTTTTCATAAACATTCTAGAATCATTTGAGTCCACAAAATGTTCACTGCACTATTAATGATGTTTAATTATTAATAATTAACTACTAATTATTAACAAATCTATAGATTTAGGTGGGTAGAATTAATACAATATTAAGCATTCTAACCATGAACACTGAACATCTATTTATTTAGAGACTGCCTGTAATTTCTCATGGTCATATATTATTATAATACTATATAAAAGTACAACATAGCAGTCTGTTGATAATGGAGATGTATATTTTCTTTTCTATATTTGAATACCACAAATAAGTTTCTATAAATAGTTTGGAGCACATTTTGTGCACAGTTTAGTTTGGTTATATGCCCAGAAGTCAACACACTTTGTATTTTGGTAATGTGCATTGACTTACATTTTTCTCTGCAAACATTTCCTAAAATAATTGTCTCGGTGGATGCTTTCCCCAAAGCACACGTTGCTGTTGCTCTTTATTCTTCCCAACATTCACGTGTAGCCTGTAGCCAACTGATGTGTGTCAATTAATGTATTTCTGTGGCTTACTTTGTATTTATTTCTTCACAAATGGCACAGAGGGGATGATTTTTTGAATAATTTCCTTTGTGATTATCTTATCACTTTGCAAAGTTTTTGTGTTTTCTGGATATAAGGATGCATCATAGTGAATTTATTTTTCAAGGCTTAATTTTAATAAAGTATGATCAATCAATCTTCACGATATTCTCTCCAAACAATATGAAATTATTATTTTTTTTCTAGAAGCTTGATTGGTTTAGCATTCACATTTACATTTTCTACAATAACTTTTAGGCTGGCTACCACATCCTTAATAATGAACTCTACAACATTCTCTAGGATCCTGTGGATATTATTATGCCCAGAGTCAGCTGTAATTTTGTACAGGATGTGCCTTCTCATTACTATCAGAATGCTCCAATACATAGTTGTGGAAAAGGCAATTCAACATCTGAAATATACTGCACGAAAACCCTAAAGCAGAACTTTTCTGCAATTTGGAAGTATACTACCAGAAAATTTTGACTTTTCCTGTAAATTACTTAAATTTATTTAAAGAAGAGGAAGCACTCAAATTTTCCCTAAAATTGTTTCCAGATGAGAGCAAAATCCATCACTAATGTAAAATCAGGAGCAACCATTTACTAGACTCGAAATAGTATTAATAGAAGCGGAAGAAGAAAATACTTAAAATCAAGATGACTACAAATTATTATATTGAGTATATGCTCTAATGGGCATGGAGGAAAAGAAGACGCAGCTTTTAACAGACTTGGTTTTTAAGAAGTCGGTTAAAAACTTATATGAATAGGCCTATATGCATTTAAAAATAGAAATGAAGCTCAGAGTGTGATAACAATTGAAGCACAGATTAGATAATCATCCCTTTGAAGATAAAAATGTTTGGCACTCTTTTTAAATTTTATTCTAGTGCCTACCTTAAATTTCTTTCTAAGGTCTACTTACAAAACATCAATAAGTAAAGCCTCTCAAATACCTTCATGAATTTTTTATCTTTAACTCCATTTAACACCAACTACAATTTAAACATCACAAAAATCGAGTTAATCTTTTCTCAAAATCATTTTGATAATTTTCTTATTATGATTCATAATAGCATTCTATTTTTAAATATTTCCTTTTCACAAAGCCAGTCTTTTTATAAAGGCTTATATGTATACTGGCATACTCATTTAAACCAAAAGGGAATTAAATCAATCTGTGCTTAGCTTAAGTAATTATTTCATATACTTCATAATTATTATTTCTGAGTATGGAATACTCATTATCCAAGAAAACGTTAAAGCCCATTAAATTCAATTATCACTTGAGCTTCAGACAAGCTGCAGCCGGAGGATGGAAGGTGTTTTATTGTCTGTGGGTTTCACTTTGAAATTCACGGACAGCAAACACTGGTTTAGTCCAGTAGTTGATTCTATTTGCTTTGCTTTCCTCATGATAACAAAGCAATTTTCTGAAGGAAAATACATAAAAAATTGCCAGCATTTCTAAATATAAATGCCCAGCAAATATGGGCTATTTAAGTTAAAACTAGACAATAATTTTGAAAAGAAATGCTCTATCTACTGTACCCAGTTGCGTCCCAAGAAGATAGTCTCTGATTTGAAAGAGAATTTTGATGCAGAAACACTCCAACAAGGGGTGAATCCCCTGTGCGTGGCTTACTGGCCAAGACAGCAACATCTTCAGTGTCCCTGCTGTGATGCAAACCTCTTGGGTTGGGACTGTGCCCGCCAACATCTGGGGTGCTTTTGTCCCTCAGCCGCTTCAGGCTCCCCTGTCCTCCTCTGGGTGCTTAGAAGCAGCTGAGAAGTCTCAGCGCCCTGGGCAGTCACACGCATGCACAGTTTACCAGGTTCAGCCCCCGCAGTCCCTTTGAAGCTAATTTTGGAAACGACCAAATTCTGGGGGCAGGACTATTGTTCCTTTTCCAAAACAGCCCTCCTCTTTAAAGCGGTTTGCTCAACTTTGACATTTCTTTCCTAAACGAGCGCTGTGAGGCCCCCATGTACCCTGAACTCCATACAGCCAAGTCGCCCCGAGGGCTCTCACCCCAAGCCCTCCTTAGGGCTGGTGCTGTACCTTACAGTGGTATAACTGAAGACCTGTCCCCACAAACTACGACTTTAGCGCGGCTCCTGTGCTTGAGAGTCTCTTGTTTGAATTGTAGTTGGTGCATAAAATCTAAAAAATCTAATAACTATGAAAGAGCACCTTTCCGAGAAGCTTAGCAGCTTTCCCAGGCCATTTATTTCTGAAGCTAGTGCACCAAGTCCCTCCTTATTTTTCGTTCTCCTTTGAGCAAACCCTTTGGAGGTGCTCTTGATCCATGATCAGAGCATCAAGGCTTTGTCCTGGCGCCTGCGGGGCTCCCAGCTTCCCTGACGAGCCCCTCCCAGCAGGAGCCCTGGGACTTGGCGACTTGGAGAACTGAGCTTGAAAACATCTCCGACATTTAGAATGCAAAGTAGGGTAAGTTTTTCTTTCCCCCACTTTAAATTAATTGAACAAGTTGATGAATATGCAAAGAAGGGAGAAATTGCAGCGCTTGGTTAGTTCCAGTTACAGCTCGGACTGCCTGGGGACGCCCTCTGGGCGCACCTCACCATCTCTGTTTGTGGGAGCAGCTTGCGTTTTGTACACACTCACCTTCCCAGTGGGGAGAGAAATGTGCTCCCTTTGGGTGGCCAGGCTGAACCTGCAGAAAGAGTCCGGTCCTTGGGGGAGCGCCCTGCCCTGTGCCTGGAAGTGGGGTGCAGGCGGGGCCAGCCTTCCCAGAAGACGCCCCCCTGCAGCGACAGGCCGGCGGGAGGACCTGCCCGTTCGTGGGCCGCAAGTTCCGTCTGTCCAGCCCCATCAGCCCGGCGTCTGCGCCCGCGCGGGAACTGCCCCGCGCTGGTGGGCGTCAGGGCGTCTAGCCAGCGCCACACGCTCTCGTAGGCGTCTTCACCCGTGATGGTCGGGCACCGCGGCGACAGGTGTTAACTTAGGGCTGAGTCTCGAGCTCACTCTGGCATTGCCCGCCAGGTAAGACGGAAGGTGACTCTTCAGAGTCTGCCGTAGCCGACCGGCGGTATAAGAACCGGCCGCTCGCTCAGGCCCGCGGCTCTCGGGCTCCAGCAGACTGGTTTGCTGCCCGAGCCAGCCTGGGCTCTGCTTTCTCCTGGCCGGCGGCACTCGCAGCGTTAGCTTAGATGCCCATGAGCTGCCTTCTTGGTGCTTGCCAGGGAGCATCTCACCCAGTAAATGCTTCTGGCAGGTCTGCGCTCCCTGCGAGGGCTGGGTGCGGCGCT